ACCGAGCACCCAATGAAACCATTAGCGAGTCAACTGTTCACATAAAAAGCTAAAAAGAGTTAGAAAAGTAAAAACAGTTCAATTACCTCATGGTAGGTTATTAAATCGAAGAGATGTCGATGTACCACTTGATTTGTTCCTAAAAACTGGTATCCTTCCGGTATCCTTTCAATTAAGAAGTGCTTTGTGTTGCCATCACCAACAACATAAGATACCGTATAACCCCATATACGCTCAGATATTCGAACAAGGAATGACCCAGAGGGTTTCTTCCGTAAAAGATCGTCGGCCTGTTCCCGTGATATGATACCTACAAAGCAATGGTCACATACTTTCAGAAACAGTCGATGTAAATACGCCACAAAAAATTATCTCTGTAAATCCTAAAACATATTTTTTCTACAAACCATGAAACCACGGCGCAGGTAAATTTGTTTTAGGGTCAAACCCTGTTCCTCTTGGCAGTTCCTCAACACGAAACCAGTCGACAATCGCTTGACGTGATTTCGGTTTAGGCGGCCTTGGCAAATTTTTACTAAAACCAACAGTATTATTACTTAGAAATTAACTTCAAAAAAAGTGAAGAGTTGTGTATTAGCCATAAGAAAACCAACATTGCCTCCCGCAATGACACAGCATTGGTGTCCTTCAAAGCAGGAAGTATAGAAGTAGAAGTACGGAGACTCTGTTGTCGGTGTTGTTCTCGAGCCTTTTGAGCAATTCGGCGTATTTGAGCTTCAGCTTCGCGCGCTTTCCTTTCTATTATATGCAGAAATTTAAGTACAAAATATAAAAATGTTATAACCCGAATAAATATTTTCATTCTTGACTGCAATACGCCTTCAAATGTCGACAAATTCTTCCTTGAAAGGACATAAAGCTACATTGCAAATTACAGAATAGGAAAAAATTCTAAAACAGGAAACTACAGCAGTAGAAACTAGCCAACCTTGTTCTTCCCAATCATGATTTGCCCTCTCCGCCTCACGTTCCGCCTCTTTCAAAATCTTTTGACGCTTTTCTTTGATCATCTCGTAAATCTCCGACTGTCTTTTACTCAGCTCATCTGGATCTTCGTTAAAAAAAAAAACAAATAAATCTCAAAAGAACATAAAAATAAAATGTGATCAGTCAAATTGCATAAAAAAATAAAAACAGAAAATTATCCACAATAGAAATACTAAATAAAAAACCTGGAGTAACTAAGTTAGTATTGGCATTCATACGCATTCTTATTTGTGGGTAGGCAGAACTTGCTGACTGATCCAATCTAGCCGGTAATGTTGCACTTTTGCTTCCGACAGATATACCTGGCTGAACTACTGATGAAGTTGATGGCCGATTAGGAGACACCACATTGGCAGCCACATATGGGAACCTTTCATTCGACACGGTAGCCTTTAAAAGTCATTACTGAGAAAGCCGGACCCAAAATGTCAGATAAACGAGATAAACGACAAAGAAGTGAACCCGCACTAGTCTTCAAAATGAGAAGCCACAAAAAGCTAATTTTTCAGAAATTACCGTTCCACTATCGTTCCTCGGCTGAGAAGCATAAAATGAAGTAACAGAAGATTGTTGAGATGCCTCATTCGCATTCATTTTCGGCAGTTCCTTGAAAAAAACCCAAAAATGAAGCCACTAATATACAAAACAATAAAGAATATACAACCGGTTATTACCTCTTTAAAAAGATCCCTGGTAGCGCTCATCTGTCTTAAACCCGGCGCCCGCTGGTACAAGGGTGGAGGTCTGGGATATTCTTCACTTGGACCATCATTAGGAACAGTTTTAATCAACAATTTTCCATCGGGTAAAGTATTACTGTGTGATCCGTATGTCATACGGAAACTGTCATCAAGAGCATTACTATCTTTAGGCATTATTATTCTCAAAGATTCTCTTGTTAATTTCCCGGAAGAGTCAACCCCGTCAGAGTCCGGATAAAAGAACTTCTGCAAAACCAAAATAACTATACAGCTCAGAGAAGGAATGGCAGCAGTTAAAAGCGTTTTTCCCCAGCTATGCAAACAATAAATAAATTCTTTCGAAAAAGTTTTCTGGGTAGTGAACTTGATAATACTTTCATTTGCTGCTGTACCCTTTCTGTTTTATAACAACTGATTCCCCAATAGACAAAAAACTCTTAGTGTCACTTTTACCATTTATTCTAGGCTTTTACCATCCAGTTTTCCAAAAATCGTTCTTAAAAAAATTCCTCACCCTCGTCTTTTGTGAATTCGTCAACCTCAACAATCAAAAGAACAAAGCACAACAGTTCCCCAAACTGTAAAACACTTTCATCTGGCAAACTCTCTCTGCTCTATTTGGTGTCCTTTACTATATTTTTTTAACTAAATAATAACACTAAAATTTTACATTTTGATGCAAATAATACTAGGTCAGTTTTACAAATCTATAGATTCATCTGTACATCAGACGAATAAAAAATGCAGAAATCCACCATTAGTTCAACAATCAGTCCGAATTACGATCCATTCCGCTTAGATCTGTAACTAGAAACTCAATTTTGCTTTAACACTCACACTCTACACAGCAGCCAACGTTTCTTTGCCCTTTTGACCAACCGTTCATTTATTATTGTAACACCCTAATCAGTATACTCGATGAATTGTCATACATCTCATAAAATTAGATTTCTGTAAATGCCCTGCATTATTCCAAGACATACCAAATCATTTTCATCATTACAACTTCCCTGAACACCCATACGACTCAGTTGCTGTTTCAGCGTATTTTCATCTTCACTGGGGTAAACGTCCTGTAGATTAGTGTCAAATTCTGCCAACCTACAATTTCAAAATACAATCAACGTCAGGTATGTGGAACCACCACACTTGTTGATATTAAAAAAAATTGAACTGTATGCTTTCCAACATCTCTTTCTCAGCTAGTTGACGAGCTTCTTCCATTTCTCGCTTCTCAATCATCTCTTCTAAACTTAAATCGTCCTTATGTTCTCCCATTACCCAAACCCAAACTTCTCCATCTGCTCCAGTAAGCCACCTAAAACGCTGACATTTCGTCTTTACTCAAAAGCGGGCAAAGAACTCACAAAAAGCAGAACTTTGATAAGAAATCCTACTCTTCCTAAGTGTAAAAACTATTAAGGAGATAACAGAATATGAATAAAAGACTTACTGAACTCCTCGCGAATTATCTGGCCGTTTTTTCGGGAAAGGATGCTCCCGTTCATATTTTTCTTCGTACGCCTTCCAGCGTTTCACTTGCTCTTCGCGCATTTTTATAAATAAAATTTGCTTCTGCTCCTCATCCAAGGCGTCCAGAATCTCTGGATCGACGAACATCTTAAAATGTTGGTAGGGGATGTACAAGTAAAAAAAGTAACTCAAAAAGAAACAGAAACTAGGAAGATGGAGTGATCAGGATTTCAAATATGATTATATATATATATATATATATATATATATAT